GGGGATGTTCAATTTCAGGAAGGCGGTGGTTGAGATGCTGACGGTGGGGGGGGGGGGGGGGGGGGGGGGGGGGGGGGGGGGGGGGCGCAACAAGGCGAAGCCACTCCCAGTGGCAGGAAGTCTGGGTGGGATGCCCTTCAGAGGGTCGGCATGGACTCGATGGGCCGAACGGCCTGCTTCCGCACTGTAGGGATTTTATGAGGAGAGTTGGGAGGCAGAGGGAGAGACGGGGAGCGAGGGGAAAGCTGGAGGAAAGCAATGGAGTGAGGGAAGTGGGGAAACATTTTAATTTGAGGCACAGATTTGGAATCTGGACCATTCTGTGGGAGCAAATTCTACAGGAGTTTCACAAAGAGATCTGCTTGTGGGTGTAATGGACCAGACTAGACCCCCTCGAAATATTTAAGAAGGTAGACTAGATCCTAATTTTTTCTTATTTTCAAGGCAAAATTGAAGTATGTGTTCCAGATGCAATGTGACTTGACATTAATCAAAATACAATTTATTTAAGCACTATAGTTAAAATACAACAAAAGAAAGAAAACTTAAAATAGCCTAACTCTGTTGGAAAACTTAACGGAATAATAGATACAGAAACTATTACTAATTAACTGTTCCAATACAGTAACATCCCATAAACACACCCCTTGGCAGAAAGGCAAATTCTGAAAAACAGATTCGTCTTGCAGGTAACCCAGTAGCAGAGATAAACCCCAGCTTCTAGCTGAAATTGAGAGAGGGGAGAAATGGTTTCTAAATAAAAAACGAAAAAAACTGCGGATGCTGTAAATCAGAAACAAAACCAGAAGTTGCTGGAAAAGCTCAGCAGGCCTGGCAGCATAGTCGTAGAGCTATACAGCATGGTAATAGATCCTTTAATTCAACTCGTCCATGTCAACCAGGTGTCCTAAATAAATCTAGTCCCATTTGTCAGCATTTGGCCCATATCCCTCTTAAACCCTTCCTATTCATGTACCTCTCCAGATGCCTTTTAACAGTTATAATTGCAGCAGCCTCCACCACTTCCTCTGGCAGCTTGTTCCATACACGCACCACCCTCTGTGAGAAAGCCGCTCCTCAGGTCCCTTTTAAACATCTCCCTCTGAACTTAAACCTCTGCCCTCTAGTTCTGGACTTCCGTGCCTCTGGGAAAAGACCTTGTCTATTCACCCTGTCCATGCCCCTCATAATTTTATAAACCTCCCTTCACCCCTCAACCTCCGAAGCTCCAGGAAAAATGGCCCAAGCCTATCGGTCAAACCCTCCAACCCTGGCAACATCCTTGTAAGTATTTTCTGAGACCTTTCAAGTTTCTCAACATCCTTCCTATAGGAGAGAGCATGACCTCCCAACTCCTATACTCAGTGCAGTGACCAATAAAGGCAAGACTAACAAATGCCTTCTTCATTTTGCTATCTACCTGCGACTCCACTTTCAAGTAACTATGAACCTGAACCCAAGGTCCCTTTGTTCAGCAACACTCCCCAGGACCTTACTGTTAAGTGTTTCACTCCTGCCCTGATTCACCTTTCCAAAATGCAGCACCTCACATTTACAGTTAATGTTTTGGGTCAAGTGACCATTCTGAGGAAGGGTCACTCAACCTGAAACATTAACTCGTGATTTCTCTCCACAGATGCTGCCAGACCTGCTGAGATTTTCCAGCAACTTTTTGTTTTTGTTCCTGATTTACAGCATCCACAGTTTTTTGGTTTTTAAAATAGAAATCCTGGTATGAGAGAGTTGGCAACACCCAGCCAGGCTGCTTCTATTGTTCCAACATTTAAAAAAAAAGGCCTGACAATCTGTATACAGGCTTTCCAAATAGACAGATTGGCACCTCTGTCTTAAAACCTCTTTCCTTGAATAAAAAAGGACAAAATTACCTCTTAAAGCTTCAGCACTGTTACATTGGTATTAGAAAAATACTCCAAAGGGAGAGATTTTCAGAAGACAGGGGAAAGAACGGGGGAGTGGGATTAATCGGGTGTCTCGTAGGTAGGGCTGAATGGTCTCCTTTCTCCTGTGAAACTATCAGTTCTTCCTACTTCTTTGCCAGATTCCACAGGCAGTGATCGGGCGAGTGAGCAGTCGAGAACACACAAGAACAGAGCAGAGCCCAGCATCCAGGTGAACAACTACCATCTCTCCATCACCCATAACTATGGTGACCAGATCACCAACATTCAACAGCACGGCGTCTCCAGCAATAACATCACCGGTGGTGCCCACGGGAACTGCTACATTCAGGTGGGCTCCCAAAACACCATGACCGGCAGAGGAGACCCCAGCCAAAGAGAAGAGGGGAAAGTCACTCCAGGTAACTGTCTCACAGACTCTCACCGATGAGTGGGAGGTGGCTCTGAGGCCATTCCAGCCAGCCTGCTGTTCCAGCTCAGGGCTCGTCCATCTCTGTCAATGTCACCTCCTGCATTGTCCCCAAATCCTTAAATGTGTGAGCCTGTGAAATCCTCTGGGATAGGGAGGTATGAGGTTTCACGCCCAAGCCGCCCCCTCCCCACCCCCACCACCCTCCTCCGCCCAACAGATTCCTAACTCTTTCAGCCCAAAAGATCCAGCCTGTCATCCTGAGACTGTGGCCCCTGTTTCTAGGCTCCCCCCATTTGGGGTGAAGCATCCTTGAAGAGTGCCATGTCATTGGGGGAGGGGGTTAGTGCTGAGAGAGTGTTGTGCCGTCGTTGTGTGGATGAGACGTTAAACTGAGGGTCGTGTCTGGCCTCAAGGTTGATGTAAAGCATCCTACAGTCATTATTGAAGGACCTGCAGAGCTACTGGGGGTCCTCCCAGGGTCCTGAGGCCAATGTTTATCCATCACTGAAAAAGTCGATGGTTTGATCATTGGCACCTTTGCTGTTTTGTGGGAGCCTGCTCTGCACAAATCTGTGCTGTGTTTCTGCCATTTGGGGAGTGGCCTCCATCAAACGGTCCTTCGTTGGCTGAGAGATATGGCAAAGCTGATGCTGATATTGTAAATGTCTTTTTCTGGTCTTCCTAAGGTCGTTCGGAAGCTGGCGGTACTGAGGCCGAAGTGGGAGGAAACTCGGAGACCGGTGGTACTGGGGACAAAGAGGGAGGAGTGTCAGGCACAGGCACTGAATTTCACGTTGACGTCATTACTGACCAGCTCTCTGGTCTTCAGATTGGGGACAGCAACCAGATGAAGTTCTGCTGCGATCCTGTGAGTGAGGATCCTGTGAGTGAGGATCCTGTGAGTGAGGA